TGCCTGGACACACTCTCCTAGGATAATAAATAGTTTTTGGTTTATTTATACTGAGTCATAAAGAAATAAATATGTGTGAATGGTGCCCCTCACTGCTTCGTTTTTTTTCTGTTATAGAAAGAATCACCTGAAAAAATGTGCTTAAAATTATGTATGAGATTCTTCTATGCTGTACTAGTATCAAAGTTGGCCCAATATTTTGACCTCCTAGGAATGGCAGAGAAACTTTAAGGTATAATTTTGATTGTATTTTCATAAAAATGTTCGATTTACATGAGTATGTAGCTTGGCTTAGAATATTTTCTCTATCTTAAAAGCAATCATATATAAAAAGAAGAAAATATAGCTATCAAAGAGCCGGCCATAATGAAAAATTACCAGTCTATTTACTATTTGCTATAGAATTTTAAGTGAGACTTTCCAATTAAATTATACCATATTTATAGAAAAAAAGATTAGTTTACATTATGATTATAAAACAAATTCATAACTGATATGATCTTTGCTTCTATCCGCTTAATAAGCCTGAGATTTTCTACAAGGTATAGTGATCATGACTGTGAGCAGTGCCATTGAAATTAAGGCTCTATGCATACTGTGCAAACATTTCTGAGGAACGCTTATATAAAGCAGATGATAAGCAGGTTCCAGGTTTTCTTGTCACTTCTATTTAGCTGTTCTAAGTCAGTTCTCAACTTTGGTTCACCAGTTTCTTGCTGCCATTTAGTAATAGTGAAAGTATAACTATTTCCTTACGAAAGGATTTAAAGTGTCTGTAACTTTAAATAGGTGCAAATATCTTCTTTAACAATAGGGAAAATCCCAAGAATAAGGTGCACTCATTATGATATTTCAGGACCTGATCCTGAAAATCCTAAATACTGCATACAACACTAAGTACCATGAGAAGTTGCATTGATGCAGCTGGGTTTCTGAGACATCAGAATGGATACACTGTAGTCTTTAAAGTAGTCTCTATGGTATCTGTAGGAAAGAGACTATTTGCCTTTATTTAATGTGCCAGATATTTTAAATCCCATTGCTAGAAAATACATATACTTTCACTATTACTAAAAGACCAGAGTATGCCTAAATAGGATTTTGGAGTGAACCTCTGCACCTAGATAGACATATTCAGGATAGCAGGGCTCACATGAATACTATATAGCTGTAAAGACAGGGCTTTGAAATTGTGGTGCAAGCTGTAAAGCTTAGGAAGGGAGAGCACTTCAGAGTCTCTCTCTCACTATCCCAAGCCACAACTTCACACAGTGGCCACATAGCTATTTTTAGAGTGCTAGCAGGAGCCCTGCTACACAAGTCTGTTGACCCAGGCTAGGATACTCACTACTTCTTCCAAAATTATATGCAGACACAAAGAAGCCAATTGAAATGCTCCACTGCAAGAATTAAAATGGATGAAGAGAAAATAAAAATAACCAAAGAGGGATTTTGTATCCTTGTTGGTACAATCAGTCTTGGAAAGCTTTCTGTAAAATTGCTAACAAAGATTATACATAAAATGTCCATACTAAAGGATGATCATGGCTTTTTAAAATAGAAAAAAACTCTTCGGTAAAATAAATGTGGGCATTTCATTATTTACAGCATTTCTAAGACTGAACTAGTAACAGTAAAATACTATGTATCCACAGATACAGTAAAATACTGTGGACACACTTAAAGTCCAGAGACAAATCCTGCTCATCGGATTCATTCCAGTAATCCCAAAAATTTCAGAACTACACTTGTGAGTCAGGGCTGCAGAACTGGCTGAAAGCTTTTATAAAACTTTTTTTTTTAAAGATTACTCTCAATATTTAGTAGTTTCTAAAATTTAAATTTCTAAAGTTGATTTTCACAAAACTTTATCATTAGTTTAGAAATCTTAAGTCATTATGATACAAAGGAGTTTTATTAGAGTATTGAACATGCTTGAGATATTTTAATAATGAAAACAGACCTTGATCATTTATTTTGCACTTTTGTTATGCTGCACAATACCTGCACCTTCCAGCAAGGGGAAAGGAGAAGATTTTGTTGTATTCACATTTAGGCACTTGGCAAGTTGAGCCGAAAACACATTCAATGCATTATATAACAAATCATGGTGTGCTTACTATACGAAGTCCCATAAACATAAATGGGACTTCTCACATATATGGAACCCTCCAAGAGTTATGCTTTATATCAAGTATCTGCATATTCTGATCTCTAGTTTCTATTTATTTTAATGATTTTATTAATAATGACCACATTAAATATTGTCTAAATCAGAGAAATATATAATGATCACAGGGATGCAATTCCAAAAGTTTTTATCCAAAAATATGGCACTTTTTGCTATTGCACCTATTTTTACTAAGACATTAAAATCTGCACCTTTAATTTCTTGGACATGATCATGTAAACAGTAAGTACATGCAAACTTCAGTCACAAGAGTATTGCTGTTGACTTCAATGAGATCAGTGACAAGAGTCAAGTTATGCACATTCTTAGGTGTTTGTAGGATCCAGGACAGTGGGACTACTTCTTTGCATAAAATTAATTTTGTGTGTGTAAAATTAGTCACAAATCAGGACCTTACATATTACTTTATGGTGTTTTATTATATGAGGTCCCACAAACATAAATGGGACTTCTCATGGAAATGAGCACTACACCCTTAAATATTTGCAGGATCAGGTCCTTAATTTTTAACATAAAAAAGGACAGCAGATAAAATACATTCTTATATTTTTTCTCAGGCTTGCTACATTATATTTAACTGGGAACTAGTAAAAAAATACTGCTCAGCATCAGAATGCTATATAAAGGAAATGCAGGAAATGTAACCAAGCAGAAGCTTTATATTGTGTTGTAAAATTAAACTAACTAGTTAAATGCATACAAATGAAGCAATTAAGTGTGCAGCCAGCTAGATTTTATGTATGCTGATTTTCAAAGGACTATCAGAGATTGCAGAATCTACCCTCAGGTGAATTTATACAGATATCTGTATAATGTTTTCTTTTTTTTCTAGTCCAGTGCTTAATGATTTGTAGAGCTACTGTATTTTCATTCTCATCCCCTTCTGCCCCCACTCCTCCTACAAGCTGTAGCTGTGTGTGAATCACTCTCACAGAATGGAGATATTTCATTTCTGTGCTAATTTTTTCATTAGAAGTTTTTCTTCCAAAGGATATTTATATGTCCTGGCAATTTACTGTCTCTGCGTTACTGAATTTAAATGAAATTTCTCAATACGGTATCTTTTTTACACACAAGCACACACAAACACACTCTCTCTCACACCTGATTTTCAGAGGTCCTAAATACCTGCCCCTCTCATTGACTTTGATAGGAGTTGTGGCCCCTCTCATTGACTTCGATAGGAGTTGTGGCTAATCAACACATGAAAATCAGGACTAATATGTATAGCACGTAATGGTTTAATTACCTAGCAAGGGCCTGATCTTGCTTCATCTGACTTTAACCGGAGAAGAATAGGGCCCTCCTGAACCATTGGATAGCAAATCTACTTTTTATAATTTATCATATTTCCTACTTCTCATTGCATAATTAAAATTCACTAAAGATCTGAATCTACATGGTGCTGAGCACTGTTAACTTCAATCAATTTTAACAGGTCTTAAGAGTTCTCAGCACGGAACTGAGCACCTAGAAAACTGAATCAGAATCACCTTTCAAAGCAAAACAGATATCTGTACTATGGGGAAGCTCTGACCGAATTGTATATCCTTGCCTATACTCCTGTGAAATATTTACCTATCCCTTTAGTCCCATTTACTTTAAAAGCAGGTAGGAAATATGTCTGTGATTTTTCATGATAGTTTTGAGCAGCTACAATACTGCCTGGGTATGAATACACACACACTTTCTACAAGCATTCATGATTTGTTTTCAGCACCATCCCCTAAATGACATTGCCAAAGAACTGCTTAGGAAAAACAGGGCACTTGCTCAAGCAAGTTAAATCAGGCAGTGTCTAGAAAAGGCAGCTACTGTCTCTACAGAGGATTGTTTCCCCCTTTTTAAAATTAAAAATAGAGGCACATTCATTGTAGCAGGGTGGTGATTTCTGCAAATGCAGCCAGCTGATAAATTACAGTGAGGAAGCAAGCCGGCAAAACCCTTGCTCATACAAGTAGTCCTGACTCATGCAAATACTCCCATTCACTATGGGACTGCTCCTGTGAGTAAGGACTGATCATGTGAACAGAGGATTGCAGGATCAGCCCTTGTCAGGACAGTACAATGAAGAGGTTCCTGAAATACCACAGAATAGCTAGCTCTTTGTGAACTGTGTGGGAATGTGTTCCATATATCGCTATCTTTATCTAGGAAGCCAAGAGTCAGGGAATGCCAGGGCTGATGCTGATTTAAATTAGAGAATATCAAACTGACATTTCCTAGCCAGCCCTCTGTTTCAATATTGACCTAGGGAGATGCTCCCCCCTTTTCTGCTTTATATTGCTGGCAGCAAAAATATAAAACTAAAGAAGCTATTTCCACATAATTTCAAGTTGCTAATTTTAGTTCTTTTACTATTCTGTTGTTCTTCTCTTCCTGAGCAAATCCTGCCTTTTATTGGGACCATTTGACAGATACCACTGAAAGCTAGCCTTTTTCTGATGAGAAATACACTTTGTCATCCCTGATCAATTACCTTACTTCAGTCTATTGCTCATTTGATGCATGATCCAAATCCTACTGAATTCACTTAAAAAATTCCCTTTGACTTCAATGGTCTTTGGATCAGGCCAGGTCAAGACAATACAGAAAACCTCAACTTCTTTTAATTAGAGCAAAGGATGCCTAAATGAATGGATATAAATATTCCTGGGTTGAATCCTGACCACAGTAAGGTAAAAACTGCCCCGACTTCACTGGGACCAGGATTTCATCACATAGTTTTAGCAGAGGGTCAGGGAGATAGTAATGTCCAATCTATGCCATTTTCAGTCCCTTAAAGGAGCCAGTACAAGTGAGGACTCACCTGATTTGTCGGAAGAGTCGTCAAACTCCACATTGAAAGAGTGCCCATTATTGACGATGTTCCTAGCTGTGGAGGGGTCATAATTGAAATGCAAAGGCTTCAGAGAAGAGTCGTACTGGGCGGACGTGGTGTCAATATCAATGGGGGATTGATACTCCCCATTGGCAATGGGGAAATCCTCATGCCAGTGAGCAGGTCCTACAAGAGAAAACACGGACAGATCCAATGTGAAAAAGATGCAGGCAAGGCACTGAGGGTGGGAATCATTTATCACAAATGCGATAGAGTAGTTAATGCTAGAAGTGGGTCTGCAGCTTTTAACTCTTGCATTGATATTTAACGATGCACCTATCTCCGCCAGCTCCAGTCCTTGCCACATAAATCAAGGGTAGAAAGATCCTGAGGACTGGCCTTATGGATTCTCTGTTTCTAGTGCATTATAGGAGTCGTGAAAGGCTGCTGCGGTGCGGACGGAGGGGAGAAATCCTGCACTGATTGCCCATCCGGCCCCGCACAGCATGGGGGAGGGGATGGGATGTGCAGGGCACAGAGGCCTCTCCCGCCGCCGGCCATGGGATGCTGTCACGAGTTGTGTAGCAGCCTAGAAACCAGCGGCGGCTCCAGCCTCCCCCTCCCCAGTCCCGGTCTCGTAGAGAAACTTCCTCCCGGATGGCAGAGCCACCCTGGGCTGAATCCCGCAGCGGTCCGGGCACGCACCCCGGGGCTGGAGGAATGCGGAAAGGCCGGGGCCGCACACCTGCGCGGCACTGCGGCTGCATCTCCCCGGAGCCAGGGACTGCGCGTCCCCTTCCCCCCGCCCCGGTAGAGCGGTCGGGGCTCCCCCCGCCGCGCCCCGCCCC